CAAATTTCATTCGATATGTGTGAGGGCTGTGATACTGTCCGGGTGCCCAAACCGAAGCAGGTGGTTTTCTTAGGGGGTCACACCCGGAGCATTTGACCTGAAGGTCTGATCCACAAGGCAGTGGAGCATCATAAGGAGATGCAGTCCCATGGAAGCCGGTGACCAACGATTGGTTCATACGCCATTTGTTCCCGCAGGATACTGGGGCCCATGTGCACCACTGGTTTGGGATCCGGTTAAAGTGCCGAACATTCGCTTTTCATTCTCTCAATTTCGTAAACAAAACCCCCGCCACCAGAAGGCAATAAGTAGGACTTCCCTGGCAGAGGATATATACGCGTGGCCATGTGAGAGCATTTCGAGAGGGAGAGCGGACTCTCCCTACTCTCGACCGTACCAAGGCATTTAAAGGCCATATTCTCAGTATCCATGTAAGGTATTATATTCAGCGAATTGGTTCATTTTTTAAAAATTCATTTAGCAGTTGATTGTGGTATATTGAAATATAGTGTTCATTTAAATAAAAATTCATTTCAAGTATCTGAAGTGATTTTCATTTATATTCTATGGATATTTTAGCATAGCTCAGCTAAACATATAGGATAATAAACAGAAACAAACTGAAAGTTGGGCTTTTGAATATGTTTTATGAGAATTACACTCGGATATTGAACACAACCAGTTAATAGGCAGAAAGATTACTGAAAGTGTTGACTATAACACATTACTTGAATATTGAAAACACAATCGATAATCATACTTAAAACGCTCAGCTCCTAATCAATACGTAACAAGTTTGAATCTAGTTTCGATTCTGTTAAGACAAATGAATAGTTTTAGTAGCCTTCATACTTAAATATCATTCAAAAACGAGTACATAAACCTGTACTAATTGTTAAATTAAATTATTCTACTAAGTTAACCACTTATAATCATTGTCATTATTCTTATAAATATCAATTCAAATTGCAGTAGGTGGAACAAGTTTCAAGCAAGAACTCTACCCAAATCACCATTCATCACAGGATCTAAGTCAAAAGAATTAAATTTTTTAAATGAAATTAACTAGAGATATTGTGTGATAAGAAACAGACCGAGTGTCAATCTAATTGACTGTACGGAGGACAAGATTCTAAAGAACTTATTTACTTCCTATCGCTAAGTATTACATTAAATTTACTATGGATAGTTTGTTGAAGTTGTTAGAAGAAAATCATGTAATCAATAGCATTAATAAGTTAATAATGATGATAAATGACAAATGTTTGAGAGTACGAGTTCCGTCTGACTGCTAGGTGAATCTTACTTATGGATGTCATCATTCATGAAATTGGAATCACTCATATCTTATTTTTAATCATATTTAGTTTACAGTACAATTGTATATTAGATAACTCAACTCTACGACTATTCTCTATGGTCCTTCAATGCTTTATTTTACAGAGGTGGGTAATTGTGAATTGTTGTAAAAAATATAAGATGGTGGTCGACAGGAAGCTTTGGATCTAAGTTTCATGCTAGTTGGCACGTGTCAGCAAGATGCACCGGTAATCCTGAGGGACATGATGCTGTCTGACAGATTCCATCCCATATCAACAAAAGCTCCACAGACATAGACATCACCATTGAGCTATCTAGATAGCGAATGACCTGTATAACTGACATATATTTACAGTCGAATAATCACTGGGCAGTGGTCAATGTCATATTTGTCGAGTCTTTCTTAATGTAGATCAAATTCTATCGATGAAGTTGCGATGTAGTCACTAATCTATATGATTCAATATCGCGTGAACTACGCTGAGATATAAGATGATAAGTGAAGGATCTGACGTATATCACACTGATCGCTATCCGATGATCAATTAATTGTAAACTTTAAAAAGTATAGAATCATACTCCCTATCAAATCTGTATATTGCAACTTCCATCTTTACAATATTATAGTTATGTGTTGCTAAGATACTACGAACTGAAATTAAGTAACGTAAACAAAAGTATTTAATTCGCTATAGCCTTACAATACAAACTTATATATATCCTCATCTTTTTTAAATGTTTCAAATCCTCATTAAACTTTGAATATTTCCAGTCAAAACTCAGCTTTAATTCAACTATACATTTTATTCATTAATTACATATGTTTATCAAGAAATATCTATGAAATTCATCTATACATTTTTAATTTATCTTGATAAAAGATGATGGTCACATTTGAAATGAAATTCATTTCAACAACAACAACAACGACAACAAAAAAGAGAAAAATTTTGACTGATTAATTACTTCCCAGTTGGTGAATTAAATGTGATAAACCTTGTGTTCATGTGAATAATAAAATATTAGGGTGGAGAATTAAAAAAATAGTTGGGTGAAAAGGGGATAAAAACCTTCAGATTAGATGGATTAGCAATCATCATCATCATAATAATAATAATTGTCATTATTGTATAAATATGCATAACATATTACGCAATCCAATTATTATAACAACCTGTTCATGGATCTAGGTAACAGGAGTTTTAATATAAAATAATTATAACTTTTCATTAAATTAATGTTTCATTTTTGAAGAAAATCAGTCAAATTAAATGAGATAAATATTGATACAAATTTTCATATTTTATAATTCTAGTAACAGTTTCATTTTAGTTGATCTTTAATATGTTAGATAGATCAAACATAAAATACGGGTTTCTTCATTTTATCAAATATATATATACACGTGTAATCATTATTTATATTAGTTAGCTTGATGTAATTCATCATCTATATAGGTAGATATTTCATCATTGTCAATCTAGAAATATGTAACTGATTAAATAAATATATATAATTTAACTTTTGATAACCAGCATCTTGATTTTATTTGATGAAATCCCCCACCCCCTACCCCCCAAAAAATATCATTTCAATCAATCTTTTCTTTTCGATAGAAGACGATGGAGTTGAGTTGAATAATGTGATATAGTTGCGTTATACATTTCCAAGATGTTTTCTTCCACTCTGTTTCATGATCATTTATTATTACACCTGATTCAGTCTTGTTTACTATTCCATGAATTATCATTCGTAACTAATCCTCATTATCATCATCATCAACATTATCATTGGCATTTATTTCCAAAATGATCGATTCGAATGACAGAAATCGATACAAATTAGATAATCTTTTTTGTTTATTTGACTGATCTATTTTAATGCTTATTACCTTTTTTATTTGGTTTTACTAAATAAAGTCCAAATATATTTCATAAGAAATAGAAAGAGAAAAATTACCTAGTTATTAAGTGAATCTCATTAAATGATTATTATATATTATCTTGTATGAAAGAAAACAGAAAAAAAATCTTTCAGTGAATAATTTTATTTGATATTTTCCTTATTTCTCCCTTAGGATATAAAAGAGGTTGGTTAGTTAGTGAATCAAAAACAAAAATTTTTTTATTGACCATTTTCTAACTTCATTTTATGTGCTTTTGTGTTTGTTTACTTGTGTGTGCATATATGTATGTATGTATGTAGGTATGTAGGTATATTGTGTGTGTGTGTGTTATAAGAGACCGATTTGAAAAATTTGTTCAAGTTTATATTACTGATAAAAATTATTTAAAAATATGTTTCTTTTTTTTATTTTTTTTATTTTAACAAAAAAATAGACTAAATGATTATTACTATACCATGTTGGTTTCTATTCAATGAATATACAGATTATTGTGGGGAAAATTGTAACAGTTTTTTTGTCATTTGGAAGAGTTTAAAACAAAGGGGAGGGGATAATATTAAAGAGACCAATAAAATTATTATGTTATCATCACTATTATTATTCGATTATTTATAACAGAAAAAAGGGTGATTAACTTTTTATTTCAACGATAATCATTTATCTCTAATAATAAGAATGTTTTTGTTAAAAAATATTTTTCTATCTAAAATGATTGAAATGATGAAATGTTTTCTTAAGTTTAATGGTTTGATAGGGAATATAACATTTTCGTATGTGTATGTGTGTGGTGGGGGGACAACACAGAGTGGAGTATCTTCAGGATGAATTCTATGGAATCAGTGTAAACATTGTAAGATTATGGAATAGTTTTACAATAACAATGAAACATTCATTTGGATAGTTCATTGAGCGATTGTAAGTTGTGACGATAACGAGCTTTATTGGTGAATGCTAGTTGTATAAAAAATAATGATATAGAGTAAACTCAGAAAAGTTATTCTTGTACGTAATATACTATTAACATTGATATGTCATCAAAGACAACGTTTCACCATACATTAAATAAAAAAGTACTTATTACACATTGAGTTAGATTATTTCCAGTTGAGGTATGCCATAAAATTCATTCTGTTGATTAGTTTTTTTGATTTGTAAAAGGGTGGGAAACTTGAAATTTTTAGGAAACTGAAGCATTTTTTACGATCTAATTGTATATTGATCAGAATAGTGACCCAACATATTAATAATCATTCATTTATGCACGAATCTCATAAATTAATGAAATATGTCATGAACTATGTGACTTTGAATTCTTTAAATGTGCAAACATGCTTATCGGCGAATGTGTGG